GTCAAAATGGGATTTTTGGGGGGTTTAATTTGCTGGGAAATTGGGAATTTTGGGGGGGTTAAAATGGGAATTTTGGGGGGTTTAATTGGTGGGAAAATTGGGAATTTTGGGGGGTTAAAATGTGAATTTTGGGGGTTTAATTGCTGGGAAATTGGGATTTTTGGGGGGGTTTAATTGCTGGGAAAATGGGAATTTTTTGGGTTTAATTCCTGGAAAAATGTGAATTTTGGGGGGGTTAATTGGTGGGAAATTGGGATTTTTGGGGGGTTAAAATGGGAATTTTGGGGGTTTAATTGCTGGGAAATTGGGATTTTTGGGGGGTTTAATTGGTGGGAAATTGGGATTTTTGGGGGGGTTAAAATGGGAATTTTGGGGGGTTTAATTGGTGGGAAATTGGGATTTTTGGGGGGTTTAATTGCTGGGAAATTGGGATTTTTGGGGGGGTTAAATTGGGATTTTTGGGGGGTTTAATTGCTGGGAAAATGGGGATTTTTGGGGGGGTTAAAATGGGAATTTTGGGGGGTTTAATTGCTGGGAAAAATGGGAATTTTTTGGGTTTTAATTGCTGGGAAAATGGGAAATTTTGGGGGTTTAATTGCTGGGGAAATGAGAATTTTTGGGGGGTTTAATTGCTGGAAAAATGGGAATTTTTGGGGGTTTTAATTCCAGGGAAAAATGGGAATTTTGGGGGTTTTAATTCCTGGAAAAATGAGGATTTGGAGTCCTTTAATTCCTGGGAAAATTAGGAATTTTTTTGGGTTTTAATTGCTGGGAAAATGGGAATTTTTTGGGGGGTTTAATTCCTGGGAAAATGGGAATTTTTGGGGGCTGATAATTCCTGAAAAAATGCAATTTTTGGGATTTTAATTCCTGGAAAAATGGGGAATTTTTCGGGGGTTTTAATTCCTGGGGAAAAACGGGAACGGAATTGGGGACGGGCGTCCTTGAATCCCCGGAATTCTTTGGGTTTGGAATTTTTTGGGGTTGGAATTTTTTCGGGGCCGGAATTTTTGGGGGGGCGGGAATTTTTCGGGGTTGGAAATTTTTGGGGCTGGAAATTTTGTTTTTTAAAATTTTTTTTTTGGGGGTGGATTTTCCAGGATCCCGGAGCGGGCGATGGATCCGTGGGAGGAGGAGGAGGAGGAAGAGGAGGAGGAGGAGGAAGAGGAGGAGCCGGAGGTGATTTTCGGGGATGAGGGGGAGGAAGATCCCTACGATCCCAACGGGATCCGGGGTAAGTTCGGGAAGGATCCTTGGGAAAAGCGGGAAAATCCCATAAATCCCATAAATAAATCCCATAAATAAATCCCATAAATCCCCGATCCCAGCTGAAATTGGCTTTGAAATCCATAAAAAGATGGGAAAATCCCCACGGGAAATGGGGGAAATCCCAGGGGAAATGGGGAAAATTCCATTAAAAATAGGAAATCCCAAGGGAAATGGGGAAAATCCCATAAAAAATAGGAAATCCCATGGGAAATGGGGAAAATCCCATAAAAAATAGGAAATCCCAGGGGAAATGGGGAAAATCCCATAAAAAATGTGAAAACTCACTGGAAGTGGGGAAAAATCCCCTGGGAAATACGGAAAACCCCACCAAAAAAACCCCCAAAAAAAAGTGGAAAATTCCACCCCAAAAAAATGGAAAATTCCACCCCAAAAAAAGTGGAAAATTAAAAACCAAAAAAAAGTAGAAAATTCCAGCAAAAAGAAGTGGGAAATTCCACAAAAAAGTGTGGAAAATTCCACAAAAAAAAGTGGAAAATTCCACCAATAAAAAAGGAAAATTCCACAAAAAAAAATTTGAAAATTCCACCAAAAAAAATTGGAAAATTCCACCAAAAAAAAGAGGAAAAATCCACCAAAAAAAGTGGAAAATTCCACCAAAAAAAAAAGTGGAAAATTCCCCCCCAAAAATGGAAAAATCCCCAAAAAAGTAGACAATTCCACAAAAAAAAAAGGTGGAAAATTCCACAGAAAAAAAGTGGAAAATTCCACCAAAAAAAAGGAAAAATCCCCAAAAAAGTAGAAAATTCCACAAAAAAAAAGTGGAAAATTCCCCCCAAAAATGGAAAAATCCCCAAAAAAGTAGAAAATTCCACAAAAAAAAAGGAAAAATTCCACCAAAAAAATTTGGAAAATTCCACCAAAAAAAAGAGGAAAAATCCACCAAAAAAAAGGAAAATTCCACCAAAAAAAAATTGGAAAATTCCACAAAAATCCTGGGGAAAACCCCACGGAATTCCCGGTTTTTTTTTTCCCCCATCCCCAAATCCCAGGAACCCCAGACTCCAACCTTCCCCACCCGGACGACCCCGAAATCGTGGAATTAGATCCCGGCAGCCTCTTCCCCAACCCCGACCCCTCGGAGCGGGAAACTTTACGTTGGACCGTGGTGCAACAAATCGACCCCGGGACGTCGGGGAAAAGCGGGAAGAGGAGCCCGAAATCCCCGAGTTTTTCCAACTTCAAGAGCATCATCGTCCTCCAGAAGAGCTACGAGTGCTCGGAGTGCGGGAAGAGCTTCAGCTGCAGCTCGCATTTCTCCAAGCACCGCCGGACGCACACGGGGGAGAAACCGTTCCGCTGTTCCCACTGCGGGAAGAGCTTCAACGTCTCCTCCAACCTTTACCGGCATCAACGCGGCCACGGTGGCGCCGATCCGGCCGCGGAGAAACCCCGCGGTTTTCCTTATCGGTGTCAGGAGTGCGGGAAGAGTTTCCGGCGGAATAAAGAGTTGGCCACTCACCGGCGGCTCCACACCGGCGATTTGCCTTTCCGATGCGGCGATTGCGGGAAAAGCTTCTCCTGGAGTTCCCACTGGCTCCGGCACCGGCGGATTCACACCGGAGAGAAACCCTACGAGTGCCCGGAATGCGGGAAGAGCTTTTCCAGGAGTTCCCACCTCTACCGGCACCAACGCGGCCACGCCGGCGGTCGCTCCTACATCTGCACCTACTGCGGGAGGAGTTTCGGCAGCATCCTGCATTTCGAGCGGCACCAAGGGACTCACACCGGGGTGAGACCCTACAAATGTTCCCTGTGCCGGAAAAGCTTCGGCGACGCTCCGGCTTTGGTGAAACACCAAGGGATTCACCTCGGGGAAGGCCCTTTCCGCTGCGAGGAATGCGGGAAAGGCTTCGGGGCGCGGTCCCAGTACGCCCGGCACCGGCGGAGCTCCCACGGCGGAACCGGCGAGGAGAAGCCGTATCGGTGCGGGGATTGCGGGAAGAGTTTTTCCTGGAGCTCCCACTGGGAGCGGCACCAGCGGATTCACACCGGGGAGAAACCCTACGAGTGCCCGGAATGCGGGAAGAGCTTCGGGAGGACTTCCCACCTCTACCGGCACCAGCGGACGCACGCCGGGGGTCGGCCCCACGTCTGCGGGGAGTGCGGGAAGAGTTTTAATTCCACCCTCCACTTCCAGAAGCACCTGAGGGCGCACGGAGCCGGATCCCGGAAAAGCTGCGGAGACTGCGGGAAATCCTTCTCGGATCCGTCGGCGTTGGCCAAGCACCGGAGGACGCACGAGGAAGGGAGAAAAGTCGGGAAGCGCGCGGGGGAATCCCAAAAAATGCGGAAGTGCGCGGAGGAAGAGCAAGAAATCGGGGAGTGTGCGGCGGAGGAAGCCCAAAAAAGCGGGAAATGCCTGCGAGAATCCCAAAAATTTGGGAAGTGTGCGGCGGAGGAAAGCCAAAAAAGTGGGAATTGTGCAGAGGAATCACAAAAAGTTGGGAAATTTGCAGAGGAATCCCAAAAAAGCGGGAAATGCCTGCGAGAATCCAAAAAAATTGGGAAATGTGTGGCGGAGGAAACCCAAAAAATCGGGAATTGTGCAGAGGAATCACAAAAAGTTGGGAAGCGTGCGGAAGAATCCCAAAAAATCGGGAAATGTGTGGTGGAGGAATCCCAAAAAAGTGGGAATTGTGCAGAGGAATCCCAAAAAGTTGGGAAATTTGCAGAGGAATCCCAAAAAATTGGGAAATATGCAGAGGAATCCCAAAAAATTGGGAAATATGCAGAGGAATCCCAAAAAATTGGGAAGTGTGTGGAGGAATCCCAAAAAATCGGGAAATGCGTGGAAGAATCCCAAAAACCTGGGAAATTCACGGAGGAATCCCAAAAACCTGGGAAATTCACGGAGGAATCCCAAAAAATCGGGAAATGCGCGGAAGAATCCCAGAAAATCGGGAATTGCGCCGTCGATCCGGCAGCGTCCGTCAAAACCCGACGGATCCAGGAGGAACCATCCCAAAAAACGGGGAAATCCTCGGCCGAATCCCAAAAAATCTGCGGCCAGTGCGGGAAATCCTTCCCGGATCCGTCGGCCTTGGCCAAGCACCGGCGGATCCACGATCCCGGCCGGAATTCCGGGATGGGATCCCAGATCCGGCGGCAGCTGCGGAGTCGCGGAAACGAGGAGGAAATGCCGGAGGGGTGAAAGGAAAAATCTGGGAATTTTTATTTTTTCCCAGCGTTCCCGGAATTCCCGGACGTAGTTTTGGTTTTTTTTGGGGGGTAGGGTAGAGTAGGAAAGTAGGGTAGATACGGAATTAAAAAAAAAAAAACCCGGAATTTCCGGTTTTTCCGGGAAAAATCGAGTTTTCCCGGGGGGGAAATAAAAAATCCTCGGGATGGAGTTGGGGAAAATCCGGGAATTTTGGGTGGTTTGGATGATCCTGGGTTTTCCGTCGTGGGATTTTTTGGTTGTTGTTGTTGTTTTTGGCCCCGATCCAGAGGTTGTTTTTTTTTTTGGAGGTTGGAAAAGCCGGAATTCCGGGCGGTTCTGTAATTTATTGTATTTATTCAGCCGGGAAAAATTCCCAAAACGGGGAATTCGGGAAAGAAAGGAGGATTTGATCCCAAAAATCCTCTGGGATGGATTTTTTTTTTTTTTTTATTGTTTTTATTTTTCCCGGATGGAAAAGGATGGGGTGGGAATCAGGCGGGAATTCTGGGGCTTTTCCCGGTGTTTTTTGGGGTTTTTTTGGGATTTTTTGGAATTCTCTTCTTCGTTTGTAATGTGAATAAAAAATAGATTTAGTGAGGAATTCCCGGAATTTTTTCCTTGGATCCGATCAGGGTGGAGGGGGGGAAGGAAAGCTGGGAATTCTGGGAATAATCCCTCAGAAAATCGGGAATTCTTTGGGGGAATTTTTTTTTGGGGGGGGGGAAATCCTTGGGAATTTTTTGGGAATTTTTTGGGAATTTTTTGCACATCTTGGGAATTTTGGGGGGGGAAATCCTTGGGAATTTTTGGACATTTGAGGAATTTTTTGGGGGTGAAATCTTGGGAATTTTTGGGCATTTGGGGAATTTTTTGGGGTGAATCCTTGGGAATTCTTTGGGATCTCTTGGGAATTTTGGGGGGGGAAAACCTTGGGAATTTTTGGGCATTTGGGGAATTTTTTGGGGTGAATCCTTGGGAATTTTTCGGGGCATTTGGGGAATTTTTGGGGGTGAATCCTTGGGAATTTTTTTGGCATT